ACCAACAATCCACATTTATAAAACAGTGCTCTCTGAAAGGGCCAAAGCTTTCCTAAGAGAAATGGATAATTTCAGAACAAGAGCATGAAAATTAAATGTATGCCAGGAAGTGATAAAGTGTTCACAAGTGTATAGAACTTATCCAAAGGTGTTTTCACAAGACAAATCTAAGACAATTAGTGCATCAAAATATTTATGGGCAGGGATGAATTATATTACATTGAATACAAGCAAATTTATGTATTTATATTAATTAAAGAAATAATACTTTGGCAAAGTAGGAAGAAAAAGCCAACTAATAAATATAGAAAGATAAAATGAGAAAAATCATAATTGTACATTCATCTTAGTGAATGATAAATAGAAGTATCAACAAATTCAGAAACTATTGGGTCATATCTTGAGAAACAACAACTGGATGAAATGAAGAAGCCAGTATCAGGATTGATAGAAGACTCATTAACAATCTGCGGTAGGCAGAAAGTGAAGATCTTGTGAAGCACTTATTGATGAAGATAGAAGACTACAGCCTTCATTATGGATTATACCTCAACATAAGGAAAATGAAAATGCGTACAACTGGACTAAAAGCAATATCATGCTGAATGAGAAATAAAGTTGTCAAGAAGTTCATCCGACTTGGATCAACAAGCAATAACCTTGGGAAGAGCTGTCAAGAAATTGGGCAAATATTGCACAAAAGATGTCTTTATAGTGCTATGAAGCAAAGAAGGCACTTTGAGGACTAAGCTGCACTTGGCCCAGATCATAAGCTTTTTAACCACCTCAGATGCATATGAAAGTTGGGCAATAAAAAATGAAGGCTGAAGAATTTATTCATTTAACTTGTGGGGTTGAGAAAACTGTTGAAATTACCATGGACTATCTGAAGAATGAACAAATCTGTCTTGGAGAAAGTATAGCCAGAATTCTCTTTACAATCAAGGATGATGCGATTTCATTTTATTTACTTTGGACATATCATCAGGAGGTACCCATGATTGGAGAAAGACCTTGTACTCGGTAGAAAGGTTCCGGAAAAAGATGGAGACGCTCAATAAACTGGATAGGCACAGTAGACGCAATAATGGACTCAAACATAGGAACAATTGTGAGAATGGCGCAGGAACAAGAAACATTTCATAAAGTCACCGTGAGTTGCCTTGACAAAAAGTTCTATTTTCCGTAGTAATTTCTATCTCATTTACATCTCAAAGAACACATACTTTATAATTTTAATCCTTTTTAATTTGTTGAGAATACATTTATGGAAAAAGGCATATGTCCTTTCTCCTGGACCATGAAAGCAACTTATTGTCAACCCCCTAACTTATTATTATTATTATTATTTCTTGTGTAATTGGTGAGACTATGTTTGTTTCAGTTGCTGTCAATGAATTCAAATTTCTTTATTGTGCTTATACAATCAATGAGAAAGGTGTGTTAAACATACAATTATTGTAGATTTTTACAGTATCACCAGCAGTGTAGGAAGAGGATCTCCAGCAATTATTATTTTCTGTGTTTTTAACTTGGCTGTCCTTGTGGGTGTAAGGTGGTATCATATTTTTGCTTTGATTTGCATCTCCTGGATGGCTAGTGGTCGGTGAGAATTTTTTCACATGTTTCTTGGTCAGTTGGATGTTATTTTTGGTCAGTTGTCTGTTCATGTCTTTTGCCCATTTTTTGATTGGGCTATTCACCTTTTTTGTTGTAGCTTTCTATCAATTTTAGAGATTATTCCCTGTCCATTTTGTCATTGCCCCAAATGATTTCCCACTCTGTGGGTTCTCTTTTTACCCCTTTGATGAAGTCTTTTGATGCACTTACTTGTCTTGTTTTTTTAGTAGATCTCAGTCATCGATTTTGTTTCTAAGATCTTTCCTTCTTTATGAGGGGACTTTCTATCTTTTTGTATGCCGAGTGTGACAAATAGTAATGTAGCACAGTAGCGGTCTGTTGTTCAGTGTTTGTGTGGAATACATATTTTCTATTGTCTTACTTTCTTTATACTTCATATATTTCTTGCAACAACATAGTTGGGCTGTATATTTCCAATCTTGCCTAGTAGTCTTAAATTATTTAGCCCATTTTCATTTAATAGAATTACGGATATGTTTGGTTGTAACTTTGTCATTTTGCTATGCTTCTTCTGTAGGTGTCCCACCTGATCCATGCACCATTTTTATATTTTATGCTTGTATTTCTTTAATTATTCTACAATATATCTAAGGTTGAAATTTAGTCACCCCTTTCTTGTTCTATTAGTGATTATCTTTGAATGTACAGCAAGTTATATGTGATTCCAAATGTAATATTAGATATAATTTTTACTTTTTCGTGGACAATTAAAGAAGCATACTTTCAATGCCCTTTACTTAAAAGCCATACTTTTTGGCTTCAATTACATAAGTATCTTAAGAACAAGAAGACAATATTTTTTTGTTTAGTAAAGGCAATGTTTACTTAGATTTAACCATACATTAAAAATTTACATTGCTCCTACATCTCCAATTATCTGTCTCTGACTATTTTCCTTTACATTAAGAACACTCTCGGAGGGGAAAAATGAGGACCTAATGTCGGGGGTTTAAGTGGAGAGAAAATGTTTTGAGAAACGATGCACAAATGCGCTTTACACAATTGATGTGTGTATGGATTGGGATAACAGTTGTATGAGCCCCTAATAAAATGTTAAAAAAAAAGAATTGTACAAGCCCCAAATAAAATGATTATAAAATTTAAAAAAAAGAACACTCTCTAGTATTTAAGTGTCTTTAAGTATTTAAGTTTGATTTCAGCAAATTCCCTTTGTACCTACTTGTCTGATGATGTCTTTATTCCATTTCTGTTATGGAGGCACAATTTTCTTGATTATTATTTCAGTAAGTTATTTATTTTAGCACCCTAAAGTTTATTATTGAACCATCTTCTGATTTTCATTATTGCTAATGAGAAAGCAGTTGTGAATTGTTTCATTGAAAGTGCTGTATTTTTCAATTGATTTCCTCTGTGGTAAGAATCCTTTTAATTTAAAAATTTTTTATTTTGGTAAGTTTCTTCATGATGGGCCTATATGTTGATTTCTTTTTATTCGCTCTGCTTAAGACTTGTTGGATTCTTTAAATATAAGAATCAATGTTTTTTTTAAAATGAATGCTAAAGAGCCATTATTTCTTCAAAGATTGCATCCTGCAATTCTTTCTTTGACTTATAGAATTTTCCCCATTTATACAGCGCCTATCATTCTATTTGTACGTATGATTTCTATTATTCTTCTTCATGCCTCATTCATCAGTTTCTTCTTACCAATCTATTATAATTCTCACTTACATGCAATCTTCGACTGACATCATAGTTTTTGATAGTGTGCATTTAGTGTAAAAATTTCTAGATGTTTGTCGAGCATCCAATAGCACTATTTATAGTTTTCAGGTTTTGCTCTAATATTTAAGTTTAGCTTCTAATTTCCATGTGTACAGGACAAATAATTGTTTAAAACATGTATTTTATTATTCTACTATCTAGAGTGCCTGTGGGTTCAATTGCATCCTCTTTTATTGTGTGCGGTCTGGTTCATATTGTCTTGCTTCTTTGTGCCTATTTATGTGCCAGTAATTGCATTTGAAAATCAATGGAAGGAATCATGTGTGGGCTATAATTTTGAATTCAAGAAATTTGGGAAATTAATATGAAATTACCTTAATTAAACTTCAGTTTCTCAATTTACAGACATCACTTGAACTAGAGCTGAATGCCATTGGAAGGGTGTTTTATTCCTGGTCCCTTTTTATTCCTAGCGTACTCACCTTTGGGATCCCAATACTAAGGTCAAGTTGATTGGCCCTTGCCAGACCCTTTATTGTTTATTTGTCCCTGTTTTGCTTTGTGTGACTGTGAAATGAGTTCCTTAAATGCATCACTGGCAAAATTGATTTTTTGCCAGTCATTTTTTGCAAGGTCATTTTCTAAATTTTTTTTCTTTTTCTGGATATTGGTATAGTGGTTCCTCACTTTATTTTCTTTGCAATACTTTTAATATTTGTTTCATGATTTTTATTGTCTTAAACACAAAGGTCACTGCAAATTATGTAGTTTGCCAATACTGGAAGAGGATGCTTGTAGTGTTCTATTTTAATTGATCTGTGTCCATTTTTTATAACAGTAAGCACTGCTCATAGATACATATATTGCCGTGCAGTAGAGAAATCTTAAGACAATTTTCTTTTACCAGGCATCAAAATCTTTAGATGGTATCAGTGAAGAAAATACAAAGGTCTTGATCTTGTTGTTCACTTACCTGAATCTTCTTCAGAAACAAGTTTAAAAGGGATTGTTTCATAAAACACAAGGAAATCTCTAAATGAAGAATTAAAAGAATGGTAAAACCCCATAAAATTCACCTCATTAATTTTTTTTCTTTAATATTCATTGGTCTCTCTGTTCCAACTCAAAATCATAAAGAAATAAATAACTGCTTTGTTTCTTTGTATAACCAGAGTCCAAGAAGAAATTTGAAACAGAGGACATAGTACATTTTAGGTTTGATGAATAGCATATATTTAGACAGGTTTTCAAATTATAATTATTAAATTTTCCTCTAAAGAGGATATGGAATTAGAATAGATGGATTAAAATTGATAATTCAAGATAGATGAATTTTAAAATTGTATAAATTATGCTTTTCTTTAATTTAGGTTTTACCATATACCATTTTCAAATTATTTTTCAAATCTGTGTTGCTGAATTCATTGGCATATTGGTGCACAAAATAAGTAGCCGTATAAATAGGAACTTTAAATTTATAGTGTCAGATAAATTATTTCATTATTTTTAACCTAATTATCAGATAAGTAGGTCAAGAATAATTACTAATTAAAAACATTCCCGATTAAACGCAAATGTTACCAGTCGACGTCTGTACGTTGTTCACAGTACATAATCCGAGAGTATTGAGCATAGCCGCTGCAATTCTAATGGCCAAGAAAGTTATTAATTACCTATTGAAATTGCCCAAACGATAGCAATCTTCATGATGGCCTTAGTCCGCGAATTGAAACGGCTATGCTCAATAGGATTACGTATTGCTACATACCGATCCAGCGAGATAGCGCAGAGGTGCATGATGGACGCTGTCGAAAATAAAACATCTAAAGCAATCCAGACGGGGCACAAATTTCGTGGTAGTGGCCAGACATAATCTGAAAGAGAACAGAAAAGGGACAAGAAAACATTACGCAAAATATACAGACTATTCTTTTAAATTTTAGTCAATTTTTTTCTTTCATTATGAAAACATTTTGAAGAAGTGAAATTTGGAAGAAATTAATTTTCTATGGTTATGATGTTGATGACAATAATGATGCATTCAGTATTGCGTGCATTATTTTGTATTGAACTAAAATGGACAGAACAGGTAATCACACATTTTAAAGTGTACAAATCACCAACATTTAGCGTGTTAATATTTCTTAGGATCACTTGCTTCTAATTCTAAAATATTTTTTGTCACCATGTACACAGTAACCATACCTGCTCTCTTTCCTCTCACACGCTGGCAACCACTTATTTGAGTTTACATATTTTGGATAATCTATGTAAATGAATAATAAATTATGTGACATGTTGTATCCGATTGCATCATGTAAAATGTTTTTAAGATTCATGCATTCATTTTGTTTCTTTTGTTGGCTAAATAATATGCCACTCTATGCATATACTTACTTAAATTACTACCATGGAGTCAATTCTGAATTCATAGTCAGAATCCCTTATAGATTTAGGACAGACTAGAACTGTATCTTTTAGTTTCGAGATTGTAAATTTTTAAAAAAAGTTTTATTAACACTGCCTCCACATGTCATACAATTCAATAACAATCATATCAATAAGAGTTGTACAATTATCACCGCAATCAATTCTAAAACATTTTCTTCTTCCCTGAATTCACTGTTATTCATGTAATTATTTTTTTAATTGCGGCAAAATGTACACAGCAATACATTCTCCAATTCAACAATTTGTACATGTATAATTCAGTGCCATTGATTATATTCTTTGGGTTGAACAACTATTATTGATATCCTTTTCCAAATTATTCCATCATTCTTAACATGAAATCAATGCCCCCTAAGCGAACACTCTTCCTGCTTCTCCCATTGTAACCATAGGTCAAGTTTGGAGACTGCAACTCTTTACAGGAAGAGAGAGCCACAACACATTTTATTTATCTATTCATCAGTTAATGAACATTTGAGTTCTTTCTACCTTTGAATAATGAAAAATGCTGCTAAAGACAGTCATTGAACATATTTTTATTTGAATCTCTCTTTCCCTGTTTGGCAGTCTGTACCTTGTGTTAGATTGGGTTGACTAGAGAAACAGTATCAGTGACACGCATATATGTAAGAAAGAGCTTTATATCAAGACGTAATTGTATATCAGGAAAACATCCCAGCCCGGTCTAGTTCAAGTCCATAAGTCTGATATTAGTCCATAAGGTCTTCAGATTTACGCAGCCACATGCAATGATGGAGAATGCAGGAAGATTACAGGCCGTTGGGTGAAAAGTCTTGTGTATCCAATGGCGATGGCCACATCATAGGGCTCTCGCAGATCTCCATGTGGCTCCTCAACATGAAGCTGAAGGCAGAAAGAGAGGAATTTCCCAGGCTTCTCCATATGAAAAGGTCACATCCACCAGGAGCTACCATCAGGCTGTGACCGGATTGAAAGGCTAGACTCCACCCCTACACTTTTATATATTTTAAGTTGACCCGGAATTGTGTAACTACCACATACCTAAAAGTAAATTGCTGCATTATGTAATAATTCTATACTTTGAGGAACTGCTTAACTATTTTCTATAGTAATGCATAAGGGTTCCAATTTCTCTGCATCAACTACAACACACAACACTTGTCATTTGCTGTTTTGTTATTAGGTCCCATCAAGTTAAGTCGAACTCATAATGACCCTATTTACAACAGAAGGAAGCATTGCCCAGACCTGTGCCATCCTCACAGTTGTTCTTATGCTTGGGCCCATTGTTGTAGCCACTGTGTCAATCCACCATCTTCCGGGTCTTCCTCTTTTTTTCACTGAGCTTCTCCTTTAACAGGAATGATGTGCTTTTCCATGGACGCATCTCTCTTGACAACATGTCCAAAGTGGCATGAGATTAAGTCTTGCTATCCTTGCTTCCACGGTACGTTCTGGTTGTACTTCCTCCAAGACACATGTGTTTGGTCTTCTGACAGTCCACGTTACTCTCAATATTCTTTGCCAATGCTATAATTCAAGCACAGCAGTAATCCTCCTCTACCCTTCCTTATTCAATTTCCAACTTGAGGAATCACATCCCTGCTCTTCAACACTTCAAAGAAGCCTTATGTAGCATATTTCTCCAATGTGGTCCACCAATATATTTGATTGCTGCTTCCGTGAGCATTGATTATGGATCCAAACAAAATGAAATCCTCGACAACTTCAATCTTTCTCCATTTATCAGGATTTTGTCCATCAGTCCAGCTGTGAGGATTTGGGTTTTTTTCACCTTGAGTTGTCATCCATACTGAAGGATGCAGTCCTTGATCTTCATCAGCAGGTGTTATAAGGCCTCCTCCCTTTCAGCAAGCAAGGTTGGTTACATGCATATTGTAGATGGTTAATAAGCCTTTCTCAAGCCCTTGTGCTGTGTTCTTATGGATTTAGCTTTTCTATTTAGTTGTTGATTCGATTTGAGATAGTTTTTTTCTATGGTATGAAGTTTGAGACTAATTTCATTAGTTTCCAAATGGAAATCTTGTTGCTCTAGTACTTTCTGTTGAAGACACTATTCCCCCCCCCCCCAATTGAATGGATTTGGCAGCCTTGTTTAAAATCAATTATCTGTAGATATATACATTTATTTCTAATTTCTCAATTTTATCCCATTGTATTATACAGTCATCCTTATTCTAGTACCACTCTGCTTCAATTACTGTACCTTTTTAGTAAATTTAAAATAAAAAAGAATGCGTCCTCCAACTTAGTTCTTTTTGAAATTGTTTTGACCAGTCAAATGGCACTGAAATTCTCTATCACTGGTTTTTTCATTCCTATAAATCATGTTCCTAGAATTTTATTGACTCCGTAGATTGCTTAGGGAACCCTGGTGTTTCAACAGTTTAAGCACATAATTGCTAACTGAAGGGTGAGTGGCTCAAACTACATGGGAGAAAGATGGTAGTCAAATTCTACAGTCTTGAATTGACAGTCTTGGAAAGCTTATGGGACAGTTGTACTCTATCCTGTAAGATTTCTATGAGTTACATTGAACTTAATGGCACCTGATTGGGTAGGTAGATTGTTTGGGGTAGTAGTGATATCAATATTATGTCTTCCAATCACTCACATGGGATATATTTTCATTATGAAAGCATTTTCTTCCAACCATATTTTATCATTTTCACTGTGTAGCTATTTTAACCTACTTGTTCAATTTATTCCTATGTATTTTATTATTTTGGATGCTATTTTAAATGAAATTCCTTTGAAAATGTACATTGCGGGCATATAGCAGCATACCTAGTTTTTTAATGATGATCTTATACCCTTCACCTTGCTGAATTCATTTATCAATCCTATTAGCTTTCCTGTGGATTCTTTGGGATTTTCTATAAGACCATGTTGTGTTTAAACAGAAAAGAGTTTTATTTCTTCTGCATTAATTTTTGACCTTTTTGTTCTTTTTCTTGTCTAAGAGATCTTAAATAGCAGCGAGGAAACTGGGCACTTGTTTCTTGTTCCAGATCAAGGGGTAAAGCTCTCAATACTTCTCCATTGCGTTTGCTAGCCGTGAACTTTTCAGCAAGACCTTCATTATGCCAATGAATTTCTCATATAATCCTAGTTTACTTAATGTCTTTATTATGAGAAGGTGTTGGATTTTATCAAACCATGCAGGAGATACGCATATGGTTCTTTTCATTCACAGTATTAATGCAGTATATTATATTGGTTGATTTTCTATATTAAACCAATCTTGCATCTTTGAGATAAATACAAGTTGGACATAGTGTATGCTATTTTAATATGCTTTTGTATTACTGATTTAATCACTTCGCTTGTTATATGTTTGTTGAGAGCTTCAATTTTTTCTAAAGTCAATTTAGGTTTATGTTTCTTGGATATTTTCCTCCTTGGGTTATATAATTTCATTTCTGATTTTCATTTCTGTACTTTTCCCACTTTTCTTAGTCTTGGTCCTAAAAAATGTTTCTTGATTTCTTGGGAACCAACTTATTTTCCCTGTTGTTTTCTAGTCTCCATTTTATTCTTCTCTGTTATGATGTAGTCCTTTTCCACAATACATTTCTCTCTGGCATATTCCCTGAGATTTTACATGTTGTGCTCTATTTTCAGTCATCACTAAGTATTTTTTTTCTTTTCTTTTTTTTAAAATCAATTTATTGGGGCTCATAAAATTCATCACAATACATAGATCAATTGTGTAGAGCACATCTATACATATTTTTTTATTTTCCTTTTTAGACTCATAGTGTGAGTCTAAATAGCTTAATAGTGTGTTATTTAATTTCCATATATTCCTTGAATTTAAAAGCTCCCCTCTGTTCTTGATTTCTGGTTCTTTTCCATTGTGGTCAAAGAAAATACTTTGTATGATTCCAATATTTATAAATTTATTGAGATTTGTTTTCAGGTACAACATATATCCTAGAGAACGAGCCCATGTGTACTGAAAAAGGGTATATAGTGTGCTGTTGTGTTATATAATATGTCTGTTAGGTTTAGTTGATTCATAATGCTGTTAAAATTCTCTATTTCCTGATTAATCTGTCTAGATATTCTATCAATTAGTAAAACCTGAGTGTTGCAATATCCTACCCCTATTAAAAATTTTTTTTATCTCCTACCTTTATTATAGAACTTTTTTTCTCTTTAATGCTATCAGTGATTAGTTCAATTTCTGTTTGAAGCCTCTGATGTTAGGCACATATATCATGATATATAAAATATATATGATATATTAAATACTCATTATATTTTTTTAGTACTTTGACTTTTCATTATTCTATGTAATCCTTATGTATCTTTTATAACATTTTGATATAGAATCTATTTTGTGTTATGTTTGTGCTAATATAGATACCTCAGCTCTCTCTTAGTTTCTATATAAACAGAATTTTTTTTCTCTTTT